CAATTATTTTTTATTTTACATATTTATGTATGTATTTTAAGATTTTGTATGTTACTAATTTTAATATACATACAAATACTTTTTGGAGTATCTATATACCAGGGCTTGATGGCCCAAATGCACACGATAAACCCAATGAAAAATCTCTCAGATACTGTATATTTTTGACAGAACATACAACATAGATCAAACGCAGCACTTCACAGGTATTACAGCATGCTGACACATGCAGGATCGAGCCTCTGTGCTTCCTCTGTGCTTAACCACTAGAAACGTCTCTAGAGGAACAGGAGGCCCTAATGATCCATGGATGTTCAGTGGCAATGAATGTTACTGCATCAAAGCATATTGTTAGGAATAAAATAGTGGCTTGAAAGACTATTAGTGGGATCCTGCGTTCCCCTGATTGTTGTCTCAATCTTCCACTGGATGGGTGCCACCATTTTGATCTCAGAATGAACAGTTCTGGGCTCTAATCCAGGTGTGGCGGAACTGTCAAAATAGTGCATTGCATTAGGTTTGCTGTTTTTGGGAACTTAGTGGAAAACGCCTAAACGCCTGATGAGGGTTTAATCATTAAACCTTGTGTATATACAGTACTGTATTGACCAGATTGTAGTGGTCTGTCAACTTGGCCTTGTCCATTCATCCACTCCTGCATGTTCTAGTTTCTTTCTCTAGAAAAAAGGCACCAGGAGAAGGAACAAGGGTGATGTTTTTTGTCTTTACAAGACTTCTTGGCTCACTATGGTACACATCTCTTCGGTGTAGATCCACTAGGATTCACAAGAACTTTAGTCTCAGAATCAGACAGAACAAAGTTAGGGATAAAATTAAGGGTTACAGTTACAAAAGTACACAAATTTGCCCCCTAACAGACAGAGACCCTCTCCCCAATGGCAACCCAGGACGTGATTGAGAAAGTGCTCCAACTTGCAGCCAACCCTTAACAGTCAACTTACTGACAAAGCTCAGATGAGTGGTGGTTTAGAATATACAGGAATGACATCAATATTAAGAACCCAGTATCTGTTGTTCACAAATTCTTTTGTGTCCATAACTGAAAGCTCTTAGATCTCTTATATCCCCCCATATGTTACTCTAGAAATATCTAAAGTGAGAAATATAGACCTAAAGGAAACGTCATTGGAGGAAGGTAGGCTAAGTTATTGTTTATATACCCCTGAATCGTGACTGATGCGATTGAATGAAGAAGCTCATCCCAAATTTACGTAATGAACTTTATATATTGCTGCCATTGTGCCAGATGGATATTGGCACTGCCTACACAAGTCTAGCATCCTCATGTACACACGTCATGTGGAGTCTGCCTCTGACTGGTGCCAAACAAGGGTGGATAGATTCCCCTGAGGAAAAACAAGGAACAGCCCCTGAAAAATGATGGTGCAAGTGTGTATCGAGGGCCATCAAGTTGCCTCTCTAGTGCAATTAATCTGTCCCAACCCTTCTTCCTTCACCCTTCATCCTCTCTTGCTTGGCATTAATTAGAAACAGACCCCACTTGATGTGTATACATGGGGACACTTGACTTGTGCAGGCACTGCCAGTATCCATCTCAGCTAAGGTACCTGGAAAGTGGCTGTAGCATACAGCTCCACTTTGGGTTGGACTGGTCAGGGTTTGACCAGCTGCTGGACTTGGGCAGGAAGACACCCAGTGAGGAAGAGGAAACAGCATTGCAGCCTGGTCCTCTTACACTACCGGTTCCTCTAAAACAACTGGTTATTTACCCCAAAGTGGAAAGAATTCAAACTCTGAATCATCTACTTGGAGAGCAGGGAAGGACATCTGCTGAACATCTGGAAGAATTGCAAAGAACTGGACTGACAGCCAGCTTGAGAAAATGCTACCTGAGATTAATGTAGGTGCAGTACCTGGGTTTCTGAATTGGTCATAGATTAGAGGAAGCAATTACAATGTTCCCAGCACTGCAATCAAAAACTTTGTTGTGTGCTGGTCAATAACTGTGGCAGCATCAGTTTTAGATTTGTCCACCCCTATGGGCCATTTCAACGGATATTCGGCGGTTTAAGGAAGTGACGTCTTTGTTCCTTGGACGTTTCCGGTTAGTGTTTGAGCGCATTCAAAACAATGGCGGCAGGCGCTTGATGCACAGTGGGGTTACGATAATTGATTTAATCCTGCTGTTTAAAATGTCAAAATTAAAATTAGATCCTTGTTGCTCGGTGGTTGGGTGCTCCCTCTGGCCTGGAACTAACATTAATTTATAAATAATCGGAAATGAAAGGGTTTAGATTTCCGAGAAACGCGCCTGGATTGCAGCAGTGAAGCGAGAAGCAGAATAGCAACTCGCAGCTCGTGGATCTACAGCGCACATTTCGATTCAGGTAAGGAAATTTTGTGTTTTTTTTCCATTTGATCATTTGTATTTATTTACATTAACTCTTCAAGTATGATGCAAAATTGTGTTGTCGTCATTGTTTACATTCGGCGGTTTAAGGAAGTGACGTCTTTGTTCCTTGGATGTTTCTAGTTAGTGGCTGAAAGCATTCAAAACAATGGCGGGAGGCGCTTGATACACAGTGGGATTGTGATGATTTATTTAATTTTGGTGTTTAAAATGTCAAAATTAAAATTAGATCCTTGTTGCTCGGTATTTGGGTGCTCCCTCTGGCCTGGAACTAACATTTCTGAAATTAAAGTGTTTAGATTTCCGAGAAACGCGCCTGGATTGCAGCAGTGAAGCGAGAAGCAGAATAGCAACTCGCAGCTCGTGGATCTACAGCGCACATTTCGATTCAGGTAAGGAAATTTTGTGTTTTTTTTCCATTTGATCATTTGTATTTATTTACATTAACTCTTCAAGTATGATGCAAAATTGTGTTGTCGTCATAAGGGTTACAGTTACAAAAGTACACAAATTTGCCCCCTAACAGACAGAGACCCTCTCCCCAATGGCAACCCAGGACGTGATTGAGAAAGTGCTCCAACTTGCAGCCAACCCTTAACAGTCAACTTACTGACAAAGCTCAGATGAGTGGTGGTTTAGAATATACAGGAATGACATCAATATTAAGAACCCAGTATCTGTTGTTCACAAATTCTTTTGTGTCCATAACTGAAAGCTCTTAGATCTCTTATATCCCCCCATATGTTACTCTAGAAATATCTAAAGTGAGAAATATAGACCTAAAGGAAACGTCATTGGAGGAAGGTAGGCTAAGTTATTGTTTATATACCCCTGAATCGTGACTGATGCGATTGAATGAAGAAGCTCATCCCAAATTTACGTAATGAACTTTATATATTGCTGCCATTGTGCCAGATGGATATTGGCACTGCCTACACAAGTCTAGCATCCTCATGTACACACGTCATGTGGAGTCTGCCTCTGACTGGTGCCAAACAAGGGTGGATAGATTCCCCTGAGGAAAAACAAGGAACAGCCCCTGAAAAATGATGGTGCAAGTGTGTATCGAGGGCCATCAAGTTGCCTCTCTAGTGCAATTAATCTGTCCCAACCCTTCTTCCTTCACCCTTCATCCTCTCTTGCTTGGCATTAATTAGAAACAGACCCCACTTGATGTGTATACATGGGGACACTTGACTTGTGCAGGCACTGCCAGTATCCATCTCAGCTAAGGTACCTGGAAAGTGGCTGTAGCATACAGCTCCACTTTGGGTTGGACTGGTCAGGGTTTGACCAGCTGCTGGACTTGGGCAGGAAGACACCCAGTGAGGAAGAGGAAACAGCATTGCAGCCTGGTCCTCTTACACTACCGGTTCCTCTAAAACAACTGGTTATTTACCCCAAAGTGGAAAGAATTCAAACTCTGAATCATCTACTTGGAGAGCAGGGAAGGACATCTGCTGAACATCTGGAAGAATTGCAAAGAACTGGACTGACAGCCAGCTTGAGAAAATGCTACCTGAGATTAATGTAGGTGCAGTACCTGGGTTTCTGAATTGGTCATAGATTAGAGGAAGCAATTACAATGTTCCCAGCACTGCAATCAAAAACTTTGTTGTGTGCTGGTCAATAACTGTGGCAGCATCAGTTTTAGATTTGTCCACCCCTATGGGCCATTTCAACGGATATTCGGCGGTTTAAGGAAGTGACGTCTTTGTTCCTTGGACGTTTCCGGTTAGTGTTTGAGCGCATTCAAAACAATGGCGGCAGGCGCTTGATGCACAGTGGGGTTACGATAATTGATTTAATCCTGCTGTTTAAAATGTCAAAATTAAAATTAGATCCTTGTTGCTCGGTATTTGGGTGCTCCCTCTGGCCTGGAACTAACATTTCTGAAATTAAAGTGTTTAGATTTCCGAGAAACGCGCCTGGATTGCAGCAGTGAAGCGAGAAGAGAGTCGCAACTCGCAGCTCTTGGATCTACAGCGCACATTTCGATTCAGGTAAGGAAATGTTGTTGTTTTCCATTTGATTATTTGTATTTATTTACGTTAACTCTTCAAGTATTGTGCAAAATTGTGCTTTTGTCATTGTTTACATATGCGCCTAGCGGTTTGATTCTTGTTTAGTGAAAAAGGCCAAGCTTTTATTTCCGTTTTATTGCCAAGCGTTACGTGGGCTATAATTAAATATGAGTTCACATTAGTTGTCTAGCTATCTTGTCAGCAGATAAATGCAGTGAGTAACACGTTATAGAAATGTATACTGTAAACTTGAATGTTGAAGAGTGAAACCGTTAACTGCAGTAGTTTACAAAAGCTAACGGTAAACATTTTTCATCACTCATTATGCTTGTCCAATGTTAATTCCAACATGTACTGATGTATTAAACAATAATAGTATTATTTATAAATATTGTGCATTAATTTAAATCATTATTTTTCTACTTTTGTCTTTAGGAAAGCCATCGTAAGACACCTAAGACACCTAAGACAGTGAGTGCTACAGGGAGACAGGAAGGACAGCTGGTTGTCCTGCACACATGTGACATTGATCACATATTAATAAATTTGCTGGAAACAGTTGAAAGCGAGAGGATGTCTTTTGTTTATATGCAGTACTGGTCAAATGTCTGGACACATTACTATTTTTAATATTTTTGAAAGAAGTCTCTTATGCTCATCAAGCCTCCATTCATTTGATCAAAAATAGACAAAATCAGTAATATTGTGAAATATTATTAAAATAATAAATAATAGTTTTCTGTTTTAATATTCTTTATATTTATTTCTGTGATGCAAAGCTGAATTTCCTTTACTCCTTACTCCAGTCTTAAGTGTCACATGATCCTTCAGAGACCATTTTAATGTGCTGATTTGATACTTGGTTTTATACAGGATTGATTGAATCCTGGCAGGGTTTTTCAAAATATAGAAATCTGTCCTAACAGTATGTCTTTATTATCACTTTTTTAAATCAATTTAACATCCTTGCTGAATAAATGTATTAATATTATAATAAAAAAAACTGACCCCAAACTTTTGAACAGTAGTGCATGTTGTTTTTTACATTGTAATGTACATTTTTATTTTAAATAAATGCTGTTTTTTTTATTCTTAAAAAAAATCCTAAAATTATCTCAGAAATATTAAGCAGCACAACAGTTCCTCTTCAGGAACTCGAGCTGCGTCGAAAACGCTAGGGGAACGCCCTTCAGCGTGACGGGCTCTGAACCTCGTGTGTAATCAGACCAATAGATGGGCGAGACGTCACGGCGGGTGACGTAATGACCAGGAGGCTATTTCCTTTTTGCTGGTCTCCTGGCCTTCAAAGATCGGGTACTTGCTTTCCACCTCTGTCCATGTGATGGCACCATTGGCCAGGTCACGAACGATTTCGGGCAATTCACTAACCTGTAAATAAACATATATATCTCAGTAAAATAGTCAACACGCTGCCTCTGTGAATGAATTGAAGACACATAACTGCTTTACCTCAGCCCTGATCTGCCTCATGGAGTCACGGTCTCTCAGAGTGGCCGTGTGGGGCGTCTTATTAACCGTGTCAAAATCGATGGTGATACCGAATGCCACACCAATCTCATCCGTTCTGGCATAGCGTCTGCCAATAGATCCTGAGGAATCATCCACCTTGTGGGAGACACCATTCCTGGTCAAGGCTTCAGCTGTAGAGTGAAGCAAAACATGAATCATTACAGAATTATCATTCAGATATTATTGATACAATTTTATAAATGGGAGTAGAGATGTTATTACTCACATAATTCTTGAACAAATGGCATAAATTCCTGATTTTGGCTCAATGGAAGGACGGAGCATTTGTATGGTGCAACAGTGGCAGGGAAGCTGAAATACTGAAGAGAAAGAAGCAAACTTCCTAAATAAAGCAAGACAAACATATGAAATGATTAATTATAGAATATTACAGCTACTGCATTTACCGTTCTTTGCTCATCCCCCTCCCTGATACGGAATGTGTGCTCAAAGATGGAGTACATGATTCTCCCGATGCCGAAGGAGGGTTCGATCACATTAGGAACAACCTCCTCAACTGTGGAGGCAAGACAAAAGTCAATTAAAACCTCTGACATATTCTTGTTATGTTGACATTAAAATCGTAGCTTCTTCCTCTTACCGTGCAGGGTCTTCTGGAACCTCTTGACGTTAACCATGTCCTTGGTGAGTTTGAAAGTCTTGCCCTCTGTCTCAATGGTGAACTCACTGCAATGACAGAGGAAACCACTGAATGAACAGAATAACATTGGTGAGCACTACGGACTGAGAAAAATACCTATTTTAGCTCTGACTATTGGTTAAAAACCCTATGATATTGCTACTTCAAATAAATTCCTCAACAAAATATTAAGCAGCACAACTGTTTTTAACATTGATAATAAGACATCAACATATTAGAATGATTTCTTAAGAAACACTGAACACTGAAGACTGGAGCAATGATGCTGAAAATACAGCTTTGATCACAGAAATAAATTGCATCATATTAACC